ATGACAAGGAAAGACTGGGAGGGGAAGGAAATGGATGTGGTAAAGGAGGAGGGGTTGGGAGTGGAGGGGGTGGAGATGGAGGAGGAGGCGGAGGAGGCGGTGTTTTGGGCGGATCTGGAATGGCTTCCATTTCTTCTGCTTCAGTTTGTACGGTCAGTAAAGTCTGGCGAACTGGTGATTTGATCCTAAAGGAAGGAGGAATTGGTCTGTGACTTGGTGGTGGGGATAACTGTTCCGGAATGTCATGATGCGTGACAATTACAGAAGGGATTGTGGGCATTTCAAGTTCAATCACTTTAGAATAGGGGGTGGGGGAGGAACGTGAAAGTGAGAGACGGTCTGGAGATGGAAGGAAACTCTCCGAAGAGAACTCTAGTGTACTGTCTCCATCTTGGGTGCAACTGCTGTTTGTTGGTGAATGTAAACTTCTTTTGTCTCGGGATTTCACTTGTCTCATTTCCTGAAGAGCCTGTTGCTCAAACTGTCTTGCTTTCTCTTTAACTGATATATTTGCGCCAATGAACTTTTTGAAGATTGGGCTGCTAATCTCAGCTCTGTTCTGCTCTATTTCAGCCCTCTCATTCTCTGCCCTCATTCTCTCCTGCTCCCACTGAACTGGATCCATAATCACAGCTTTACTCAAAGTGTCAGAAATGTGTCTTCTGGTGAGACGAGTTGGTAAAGTCCACGCCCGACGAATGCCTCCTAATCGGCATCCTAAGAGGACATTTTTCAAGGCTGACCTTCTGGGAGGAAAAGGCATCAAAGCATCTTTTCTTCCTTGCAGAAACCCAGAATAGGTGGAACCTTGCGTTGTACCCTCCATGTACAGAGGGTTTTGAGTAGTTAGTGGGTTTTCATCAGATAAAAATGTAACGTTACTTGCAGATTTGGGAAGGTTATTGTTCAGGGCTCCATTTAAATTGGACTGCTTGTGGGCCTCAATAGCACGTGAAGCAAAGCTGCTTATAGCTCTCTGACGGTCTCCTTCTTCTAAGAATGACTTTTTTCCCCTGCTTTGTTGAAAATGGTAGAGAAGAAAAAGACTTGAAAGAAAAGAAGATAATTACAGGTAAGGAAGCATGCATGGAGTCTGATTCTTCTAAGAAAATAAAACTTGCATGCAGTGAACAAAAAACAGTGATGCCTATAGCCTTTAAGGTTATCTATGAAGCTACATCTATATTAATTAATCTATACATAATCAAACTACTAAGGCAAAGCATCTACTTATTTATCAAGATAAGTTGTTTACTGCTTCACCAAGGGAACAGGATATAAGAAGATAAATCAGGTCTTTATCATCGGGTCTTTATTTAAGCAAATCACTTGCAAATGTTAGCACTGTATAGAAATATGAATTTTGTCTTAAAACTTAAGAACTGTAGCTAGTAGGCATCTCATGAAAGATCTACTGCAGGTCACAAGCAATGACTATGAAATGGCCCAAATTCAAGAACTTCTAGATTCTTGGCAGCACTTTGTGGCATTTTGTATGCCTTGCTTTTGGTAGTCAAAATCTGTTCTCTTTAATCTGGGTTTTCCCATTAGGTCTATGTCTTGCTTTTGGCAGTCAAAATCTGTTATTCTCTTTAATCTGGGTTTTCCCATTAGGTTATGCTGTGCTCTATAACTACACTACTTCCCAAGTTGTTCTAATAGCTGTGCTTGGTATTTATGAAAACAGGTCTCTTTTTCCCATTGAGAGGGCTGCCTGATTACCTTCTTATACATCCTAGCATGAAGTGATGCACGCTCCAGCTTCCAGAAGCTTCCACAATAGAAGAACACAGAGGGTATAAAACATAGCTGACCAGAAAGCTACCATGCTCTTCATCTGAGGTGTGGAAGAAGTGCATTCTGTATCCAGGTGACCTTATTAAGTCTCAAGGAATGCACATCTCAGTTGGAATCTTGAGATTCTACTCAGCTATATTCATGTAATTTCTATGGCATTTGCAGGGGAATTTTGAGAATTGTAAGCATTTTGCAGGCATTTTGGAAGGGTCAGTTTCAGTAACATGGAGAAGAAAAGAGACTCCACTTCATATGAACAGCTGATACTTATACACCACAAAGGATAATGTTTTAGCCCATTATCCTTGCTTCCCTTTGGAAAATGGTAAAACAAACAAATTAGAAGTAAATACTAGAAACTACAGTACTAGACAAAGAGAATAATTACAGTTCTAATAAGAAAAGCAGCTAATTTCCCATTTTCTACATATTACCCACAATAGTGGCAGTTTACTCACTGATGCCTATGGATCCAAAGAGGAAGAAACAGAGGAAGATGAAACAGAAAACACATTTTGGGGTATCAATCATGTTCATTATTAGTAAAAATACAAGCCCAACAATGTTAAAACAAGATTTCACAGTGGAATGGATATAAAATCGGAAAGCAGTAAGCAACAAGTATTCTCTTATGCAACATATATTTCTTTAAATTTGGAGATATCATTTGACAATTGGTACCTAAACTTCATGTCAAAGAACTAACTGAAATAATACAAAGTATTGTTTCTATATGACATGTACAAGTAAAACAGAAAGTCCTTTATCTAAAAAGCTCATGCAGTTTTTCTATGCATAAAGGGACTTTTGAAGTCCTATTTCAAGGCAGCCCTTCCACTGGAGATTCTTAAGACTAACTTCTAGAATGACCTGAAGTACTAGGTTGGATTGATGGGGAAAAGCATCTGTATTCAAAAGTGTTCTGATACACTTTGGATCTTAGCCTATATTATATATAGGTGTTTGAACTAGGTGAAATAGGCTTCAATCTATATTTGCAGTATTTTGTTAATGCACAAAATATTCCTGGCAACCCCAGCCTGTTTGTAGTCACTCTCTCCCACCTGATTACTGAAATGCTGTACTCAAGACATTTTCTAGGACTAAAGTAATAATAAATGGTCTTCTTTGGTCAAGTGGTTGTACAGCAGAGCCAATGGAATGTATAGGCAAAGGAGAAATCCAGAAACTCTTGAGACAGACCATCAAATCAGTCAAGACTACATAACAGCAATTTTTGGCAACTTCATACACCTTTGTTCTTCTTAACTATAGACTGTATACTTTTCTCTGCCATACTTTCCTTTAATACTGCTGATGAGCATAATCCAGAAGTTCTGCATATGGAATGGTTTGTACAAGATGCCGTGCTGCAATCACTACTCATGAAAAAGAGGGTGCATCTTGTGTGGGATAGTGGAACCAAAGTCATTCAAGAGCCAGAACTTCCTTAGACCACATCCCAAGTACGGGATGGCAGCATAAAGCAGCAGTCAGGCTCCAGTACCTCGCCTTCCATACCACTAGCACACTAGTTCCTCAGCAAGTCATAAAGACATGGCTTTGTGTTTTAAGGAGGCAACCTAGGCCATACTACCAGTCAGGCTGAATACTGCCAACTGATTCCACAAGGTGGTTTGGACAGAAAAAAAGCATAACTTGTCAGTGAGAGTAGCATTACAGATTCCTGTTGCTGTGCCAGGCTTTCTGTCTTCACTGGACTTGATCCATGACTATAGAGAAGAAGCAATCTTTTATATAGTGTGAGGCTCCCAAGATGGAGGCCATGTCTGGACTTGATCCTTCACTATATAGAAGAAGCAATCTTTTATATAGGTGCACTGTTTTCAGGCAAATGTTGCAACACCCTTCCATGATATACTGTAGGATCCCTCCTTTTAGCCTGGTCTGCTTTCCGAAAAATTAAGCCTCTCTCAGTCACATCCCTTCTTCTATTCCCTGGGCTGAAGGACAGCTTCTCTTGCTCTCCCCCTCAATGTCCACATTCTAGATCACAGCTGGGCTACTTCCAAGGATCCAGTGACACATTTTCTGCCTCTGTGGTCCTCTACAGACCCCCATGGAGTACCAAAAATACTCAAACCCCAAAAGACAAGTAGTAGTCACCTTGAATCTATTGAATGAGACGTGAGCAACACTGGGAGCCCAAAAGCCCTGTCTGTTTCCTCTTCAAATGCAATCCAAAGATGCACTGGTGTCTGGTCCAAGCCTGCCCAAAGGTGGAGCAGCAGGGAGAGACATAACTAAAGCAGGGATCACTGCCAGGTATGCACCCAACACAGCCACGACTCAGCAGACAGGAAGACTGAAATGCTCTTGGAGGGTTGACAGACTGGCTGGCAGCTCTGTATAGTCCAGAATCCATTTGTGCCTCATGGGTAGGGTGGCTTGATGCCTAGCTCTTCATTCATTGTCATGAATACAGTTATAAAATGGTAAAATATTCCAAAGATGATACCCAGTTAGCAATAATATTATCATAGTGTTGTATTTAGAATATATATTTTCTTGGATTTGGATTGGTGGACTCTCTTTCATGCAGAGGTTAGATAGCCACCTGTTAGAGATGCTGCAGCACTGCATTTCTAGCATTATCAGCAAGCTAGCCTAGATCACTCTTGAATTCCCTTTCAATTCCATGATGCCAACATACCCTTTCATTTTCCCCCTCCCCATAATGCTTTTATATTTTAAAAGAACATTACATATTCTATCTATAGAAATTAAAATTCATGAAGACGTTTGAAAGACATTTACATGGACTACATTAATAGACTTAGCAGGAGAAAAAAAGTGACCATCACATGGACAAAGATATCTATTTGACTTCAAACAACTCTTACCTTAGTCTGACAAAACCAGACTAACCTGAGTTTTCCCATGTCTTCCAGAAACTACCAATCGTGAATTTCTCTATCAGATCTGACCATATAATTTTAGAATCTCTCTGCTTTCAATAAACTGCACAAGCTTTGCAACTCTTTGATACAATCATTACTAAACATACGATGCTCTAGATCATATGATTGATGTTTAAGAGCCTATTAATCATTTGTTAATTATCTTCTGTTCTGAAGAAAATCTTTTAATTTACATAGCAATAATAACTGTAATCTCTGAAGGGCCAGAATTAGATCATGAATTGCTAGCATTTTAATCGTCAAACTTCACTGGGTACTTACATGGTGCTATCACCAAGTTCTTCATAGAGATTATTGGCAGGAGTGCTTGCTGGTTTGCCAGCTGGTAAGGCCATCTGGATTCGAGCAGTCTTTGCACATTCAGCTTGTCTCCTTTGGTGAATTGCACAGAGAAGAAATAAAGAGCATCAAAAATCCTTTCTCCTCAAGGCCACATCAGTAACAAATTGTCCATGTAAAGGGTATTTATTGTAGGCTTTAAGCTCATAATTGGTTACAATGCTAAGAATACAGTTTTAATACATCACACAGCAGAACAAAATCTGCTCTTCCTTACTTGATTCCATTTGCTTCAGTCATGCTCAGCTGTCTTACAGTGAAATACCATTTTTCATGCTTTGCTAGAAAGTTAGAAGAGTTGACTCATCAACTCACATTTTCCGAAATTAAAGCCTGAGATATATTGACTGGAATATAAAGTATGGCTTGCTGTTATCAGTAGAACTTATCTCCTAGTAGCTATGCCCCAGAAAAGATTCTACACTGTTGTCATGAAGCAGCTAAGACTAGATTATCTGAGTGGTACTCTCAAATCTATATATTGATTAGTATGTGATTAGGTTAATACATTGAGTTCTACTTGTAATGCGATCATACTTTCAGACTGTTCATTTCTTTGCCATCCCTCTTCATGCTCAAGACTCAACCTTTTGTCATAAAACAACTAACCAAAGAAAGAAAACCACATCCACTCTTTTTACACACACACTTACACACCACAAACCAAAACATGGTATATAGTTTTGATAAATGCTAATATACATTATGCATTCAAAATGCATTAGTATTTAATTATGGATGCATGCCACGAAGTTGGCTGTTTTTTATAGCTGGATTTAATTTTTTTCTTATAGCAATACTTCAGTAGGCATTAAAAAACTGTATGATGTGTAAGGTAACTCTTTTCAGCCTCCAATGGCTGTGGGACACACAACCTGTCTAGGTGAACTCTGGCTGCAGTGAGGATGCTGGAAATGACCAGAGTTTTATGATATCTTTTTTGCCTTCAAAATAGGCTTTTGGAAGGCTATAGGATCGAAGGTTGCACTTCTAATGCCCTCATCCTGCCTCAGAAGAAAACTCATTGCCTTTTATCTGAAGACCAGAAGTCCTACATACATATTTTTCTACTTCTGACAATATCTGTTTTCACTGCAATATCATATTTTCATGTGCAAAATATTCCAATGCTAACCCTTAGGACACTCATTACCTTTCACGTGCAAGGCATTTGAAACAAAGCCAAAAAATACATACTTACTCTTTAAATCTGTTTTGTAATGCAGAATGGTAAAACAGAAATAAAAAAAGAATATTAATTAGTTAAACTAGTTAAATAAAAGCATTTTAATTGCCTAAAATGCAGCCGAGATGATAAACAAGGAAGATTTTAAAAAATATATAATTTATCGTACTTATAAATGCCACAGATGGCAAGGAACAACTTAGAAGTATTCCATGCTTCGTAGAAGAGGAATGGATGCTCAATCCCTGCTAAGTTAATTAAATAAATGAACAGAAGGTTTTTGTTGTTGTTGAAAGAGTCTTATGTGAATGTACGCAGATTTAAGAGTTTGAAAGATATGTTATTAACCTTTAATGAAGTGACATTATTACCTTTTAAAAATAACACTGATTAGTTAATTGAAAAAAAGCAGCACCCTGTATTTGCTTTCCATACAAAAGTATGAAGCCCTCTGGTTCTCACTTCGATATACAGACTCAGGTTTAAAGCCACTAATTTAAGAAACAGAGTGATCTGAATCTCTCATACGGAGACTGATACTCTCGCTACCAAAGAATTGATTAGAGTAGGAGTGGAGGCATGTCAGAGCCTAGTCCTCCATTTGAAACTGTCTTCTGTAGGAAGGGCTGACAATTCCAAGGCTGGTTGAAAGCTAAAGACCCATAACAAAGGGAAAGCAGGGGCTGTGATGTGGTCTAACAGTTTTTAGGACTTAGGAACCCCCCTTTCCATTCTAGTCACATTATCATTGTATTTAAATTGCTGTAATTATTTCTAAATGTGTGCATATAGAAAATACAAATTTTATGCATTTGTATACTCTTTTGTCCATTTTGGTGATGCATTTCTGTTTTTTTTTTAATTGCAGGGGCCCCAGAAAGAGGCTCCAAAGTGCTCTTCGGGATTCCTGAGGGGATCATTCCTGGCTATTCATTTGCAATTGTCACTGGTTTCGTTGTTTGTATTTCTGTAATCACAATGCACAGTAAACCATACAAATGGTTTGCAAAGGAGAAAACAATTGTTAGTGAATCACCACCTACAAAACAAATGGTTAAAGGCAGCTATTTAAACCTGACTTACAATTTTAAAAATCAAGAGACCCAATAAGAAAAATGCTTTATAATTTTGTTCTCATTTTAAATTATACACAGACTATTAAAGAAATATTAAAAAAAATTAATATGGTTCTTCCGCATTTTGAGGTCTATTACAAATGTGCAACCCTCTTATGATTAATTTATAATATTTGGTTCATAATTGCTTTCTTCTTTTGTCCAGGATACCGACATTTCAAAGGCACCACTTAATGGAAAAGAGCAATGATAATTTCTTGGATTATTTACAAGCAGTCTCTGAGCAGTGATACAACTATGTTAATCACACTGGAAGATAAGCAATGTAAAATTTATTTTACTTCACTGTTCTTTTTTTATAATCTGCAAAAATAATTCATTGAATATTAAGCTGATCAGTGGGCTAGAAAGTATTTAAAATGTTGCTATAACACACAAGAAAGTTTTCATAAAAAGCAGGTCTTAATGTTTCCGTTTTATGTGCACCAGTAATGACAGTTATGTTCATTCAGCTATAATTTTTGCACTAAATAGCAAACTTGAACAGTTAATTTGCCAATTGTGATGTCTTGTGATATTGAAGGCATAAAAAGAAGACAGACTTATTTGCAATATTATTTAAATATAGTTCAGCAACTCCAGGTGCTTATTCTCAAAAAGTTGGCTTTCATTAAAAAAAAATACAGACCGGTACACAAGAACTGTTTAGTACTATACAAGATATAAGCACTTTTTACGCATTCATTTCTGAATATGTGAAGGGACCCAGAGGAAGTGATGGGGGTACGGTCCACCATACAGATGCTGCCCATGCTGGCAGTAATTCTGAGGTGATGCATGATTGGCTGAATCTGATGGGGACTACCTTTATTATGTTTCTAATACACGAACAGGGCTTAGAGTTTTGTTGCCACATTGGGGGGGGATGTGATACCCCTTTTCAGAGAAAGCCTATTATGCAACAACATGGGAATGTTACTGCTCTATGGGATGCAGAGCTCAAAAGCCATGTGTTACATGTAAAAACATCCCCAATTTTGCACAACATTTTTACATAATGGTGACATAATGCCGTTCACTTGCAAAGGAACATACCCAATGATGACACTGTTATTTTTGTGCTGTCTAAGAAGCAATATACTCATTCTTGCTAAAAGCAAAAATGTTTTGGTGTGAACTTTGAGGAATTTGGATTGTGTGGTTGTTTTTTGTTTTTGTGACTTTTCCTGACTTTTTTAGGCAGATCCCTCTGAATGGAAAATAAACATAACAAAAAAGTACAGCAGAATATATTGAGCAATGAAAACATTGAGTTATAAATAATAGCAACATATAAAATTGAGTAAAAAGGAATGCTAATGAGAAAACAGGTTGCAATAATTCCTCTTATGATGCAATGTTCCAAGATCTGGTGGGGTATCATAAATAAAGTAAAGATGGCCTCACACAGTTCAGTATGCCTCTTCCTGTATTTAGATGTAAATGCCAAAAGAGGACTACAATAAAGAAGTGAACTGAGAGATGGAGGAGGAGAAACTCATTAAACGTTGGTATCTTTGAGACAACCCATAAGAAGAAGGAATCCAGTGGCCTGGGGCTCAATTATAAAATAATCCTAGAGTTCTAAGAAGTAATGATGAGGCAAATAGGGCAAAGCAAATGCGAAATTCTGGATAGAGTGCAAAGGTGGTTTATTTTTATTTATTATTTATTTTTTTGATTTATAGTGATGAGGCAAAGGCAAAATTCTGGATAGAGTGCAAAGGCGGTTGTTGTGTATCTAATAGAAGCTTACCATCTGTTAAGCAGATCACCATCCGTTTAGCCAAGAGCACTTCTTTATATGCATATACTGTATTGGATTTATATATTTTGGATTATATATCTAACAGCTTTTCAAAGTCACTTTCCACCTGGGCTATCACAAGTGGGGTGTGTCTGCCAAACTCTTTAGAGGGAACTTGTTAGCCAATATGATCCAGATGTCTCCCTTCATTCAGTTTAATACATTTTTTGACCAGTGATTTCATGGTAAGGAAGAATATGAATAATTGACATGGCAGTGGATCTTCACACATTATACTGCCATTATGGAATAAACCAACCAAGAAAACAAAGCCAAGCAAAAAAACAAATAAAAAAATCAGTTAGCAAAATATTATTACAATATTTGAAAGTCACTACTGTTGAATCTTACCTTTCACAGATATATTTGACCAGTCAGATTATTTGTTATTTGTATTTGTCTCATATAATTACTCAGTCACATTATATGAATCCTTTCTAACAGATCATGAACAAAATCTGCATATAGAATAGTGATTAGATTTAGCCAGTTAAAATAGGAAGTTATTTGTAATTAATTCCTTTCTACAGCTATAAATGTATAGCTGCATTATCTTACATGTGTCATTTAACAAGGGAACACTTCATTTTTTCAGTGTAACTATAATATTAGCTATTTTTATTGCTAATAAATGGTAGAGGAGAGATATTGCGTGGTTAAAGTGCTGGTTTGTGGTGCTGCCCCATAGACTGCTGTGGGCATTGAGCTAATGGTGGGAGTGATAGAAGCAGATTGTGTTTTGTCCTGTAGAATAGTAGCTTGTGGCAGTCTAATGTGTTTTTTAAAAAGAAGAAGAAAGGTGACTGTTTGAATTACTTTTGACAAACAGGAAAGTAAGGCACTGTTTCTTTAATGTTGCAACTATCGGGGGGAAAGAGAATGGGGGAGCTTTGGACTCTAGATGTAACAAACTACTTTCTCTCAGTCCTTTGCTTTGATTACTCAGCAAGGTTTACTACTAATGCCAAAATGGAATGGTCCTCACACGTCTCTAGTGGGAAGAAGACTGAAAACATACAATAAGCAGCCAAGCTTACTGCTGCATGGTTTGGTATATAATGAGCGCTATGTAGTGCAAAAATCATGTCATATCATGTCATAATAAATGCAATAAGAATGCATACTTACTGTCTGTAGCTGACCATAACTATTAAAATAGCAGGCATGCAACAAAGGATGATGATGACCGCCAGAGCCAATAATGCCCCTTCTGTGTAGCCCACAGCTTGTGCCTGCTTCTTGACATTGGCCACCACATCTGGAGTGCGGATTTGCAAAATACGTCCTCCTTGCCCAAGGTATGGTTGAAACTCTTTATTAATATCTAGAAGCTTACCATCCAGAAATCTTTAATATAAAAAAGAAAGCAAAGAAGGATAGTAAGAGCAATAGGCAACATGAAGTTACTGCTTGCTTATTTTGATCTGCACTAAATGGTTGTTAATTTGGAGATTTAATTAAATATTATCAATTGTTGAAAAATTGTTGAGAATGAACTGCTGACAAAAGGGGCAACAAAAACCATAAGGCTTATTTAAATATTATTTTAAAAATCTGCATCATGAGTAATAATGGGGAAAAATTACAGCTGAATGAATTTAAAAAATATTTAAAAACTGTGATCTTGCCCTGTTGAGATATTTTGCCTTGGAGCATATGACAGCACACATAAATGCATCTGTGCAACATTTTGAGGGAGACAGAGGACATTGTTAATCATTTCCTTAATCTTTCACTTTAGATTAAGCTTTATGTCATATTTGTATTCTCGAAGGCTTTCACACC